GTAAGAAAAGTCCAAGCCCAGAGAAATCCTCTGTAGGGAAGGAGTCATTTCAATCTTTCACACTTCAGGTATGAAAGAGCTATAGGAAAACTGGTGAATGTGAACAAAAAAAATGCTTGCAGTTTAGCTCCTGAATGCTTATGCATGAACAGTATGCAGTGCAAACGCTTTGCCAGGGTATTTATATCAGGAAAGTTTCCGAGGCGATGTGTAGCTTACGAGTTCCCCCAGAAATGCAGACACATTTGTTCTCAACATGGCACCAGCTGTACCAGCAGAAAATGCCTTTTTGCACATAGGAGTTGCCTTTACACACCATGTTTTGCAGCTTAGCTGGAAAAAAAAAAATTGGTGTAAGACCTGACCGTAATCACCCAAAAGGCCATTTTTCATGGTAAGAGCAGAACAACTGGGGAAAGTGGAGCAGGCTGAGATATCAGATGTGACAGTATGGACACCAGGTCTGGCTCACGTGTTAGGCCAGGCTCAGACTGCGGTGGGAAGGGAGTGTGCACCCACTGTTGCCAGGCGGTTGCTAACACAAGTTTAGGTCTTGGTGGCCTTATCTCAGTTTGGATTATCAGGTAGGCTTTACAGTGATCCAGGACTAGCAACAAACTCCTGGGCATGAATACGTGCAGATGTTGACAGGCTGGGTTAATTCACGTACACTGGCAAATATTGCTCATGTTCTCTGAAAGTCAAGGTTCACCAAAGGCAGTGGAGGCTCTGGAAAAAAAAACCCCAACACCCCAAAACCAGTGTTTGCCTGGGCCTGATGTGTCAAAGCCAGCATTAAGGCTTATGAAACCCTGGCTAAAAGGGGTGTCTTCCTGCAGTGGGGCTGCACGCATGAGGGTATCCAGTGAGCTCTGGGCATCACTTTTCCTTTCCTGAAAGCAACAGCATGGCCCCAGGCCACCCAGGCTGCTGTCTGGATGTGACTGGCCCAATCCAGCCTGTTTTAACAAAAAAACAGGCGTTACCCCGTCAGGGGGAAGACATCTGCCAGGACTGCAGGATCGGGCCCCAAACCCTGGAAATGAAACACAGCTCAGTCAAAGGCGACGGGAAAACAAAGTCACCTGGAAAGAGTTAGCTGTTCAAACGGGGGGCTGGGAGGGCCCTGCTTTAATCTTTTTATAGTATAAAAATTTTCTGACTGAATTGAAGCCCTACTGTTTGGACTGGATGATGTTACCTAATTCTCAGAAACGAGAGCAGTTGGCCGCAGTGCAGATACCTCCTAGCAAGCTCTGCAGTGCACATCACATCATTTAGTAGGGCTGTAAAAGAAAGGACATTTATTAGGGGGCTTGGGAATGAAACTTAACGTGCTGGCTTGGCCTTTAGCTTGCTGGATTTCATTTCCAGCTCCTCTGTTTTATTTTCCACTTAAATAAATAAATAAATGAAGCCCTCTTCACCCACTGTCCCTAACTACTTTTTGGCATGCCTTTGGATAAATCCTGTGCTGAGACCCTGGGGGTCTTGATGTGAATGTTGTTAACCTCGTGGTGATCTAGCTAAACAGGCAAAGTTCCTGGCAAAATCCACTTTTGGGAGGATCTGGAAAAGGAGGGCAAGTAATGGAGGTGTTAAAAATCACCTGATTGTTGGGAATTTTCACTCTGAGGCAAAATGAAAACAAAATGATGTCCTGAGCCCACCAAATAATGTGAATTTTACAAACATTTATTGCCATTTCCTGTTCCTTCTTCTTCTTGCCTTTCAGCTGCCTCTCCCCACCAGCTGCTCAGGTCGGCCCTATCAGGGTAGCCATTTCTTCCTCACTTCGCGTCTTTTCTTTCCCCGTGTAATATGGTGAGGTGAAAAAAAGTTGTAGTTCTGGGGCCTGGGTTCCTCCATTTACCTACAGGACAGATTTTCTTCCCCACGCAGTTGCCAAAATGGACCTTAAGCTCATCCTGGTGGTCTTGCCCTGCTTTGCACTAGTGGAAGGTGACACTGGCAGCTCTCACACAACCCACCCTGGCTTTCCCACAGCACCAAGTCTGCCAGCAATGGCAGTGTGTCGATCATCTACCCATAGATGATGGGGCTGAGAAATAGCTGATGCTATTTTTTTTTAATGCTGTTTCCCAAAGTGATGAAGAGCTCTTTGGAAAATATGTCCCTGGTTGTGCCAGTCAGCGGTGCTCCAACACCTGTTGGGATGTGAGGAGTCCAGCCCTTGTTGCAGAGAATTTCTCACTTAAAAATAAAATAATGTAAAAAACCCCAGATTGTTCCATTCACAGTATCTAGAGATAAGTACTTAAGTTAAATAGCTAAACTTTAAGTAAAATACTTTTAAAAAGCATGCAAATGTAAGTACTTGGAATGCTGAAGTATTAAAACTGTAACTTCAATTTTGAATGTCCTGGAAATGCACAGGGTGGCACTAGGGGTAGCAGGAGCTTCCATTCTTCCACGCTTTGGAAATCAGCTTATTTCCTTATAGGCCCACTTCTATTTAGCCATCCCTCCCTGTGACAGATAATACACTTGCACTACTTTCCACAAGAAACATGTAGATGCTTAGCAGCTGTCACTGGATTTTTCATCCCTGTATTTGTGTTTTAAGCTTGAATGGCCTGACCCTTTGCCTTCTCTATGCTGGCAGACGAGTGCTTATGCCAGCAGTGTGCTGGGTTACTAAAGCAAGTGCTGTGATCAGTGCTGGAGGGAGGACCCCTGGGAGTGGGATGCAGCTTTCTGGCCTCCCCACGGGTGCCATGAGTGAGCTGGACCAGCGGCCGTGCTCACTGTGGCTTTGCTGCCCACCTGTGCAACTGCCATAATTTTCAAAATGTGCCTTTTTTTCTCCTGGCTGAAAGATCCTCACAGATTTTGGGAGAGCAGGCAGTAGAGAGGAGGGCATATGGACCTGTGCCTGGCACCAGCTAATGGGGTGCTGTTAATTTGTCACTTCAGTATTAATTAAACTAGGCAGGATCCGAGGAGCAGAGTTGTCAGGTGGGCAGGGTCCCAGTAGCACACTGAGAAACCAACAACAGCATGAGAAAAGCACCAAGGGCTTTATTCCGGCTCTGGGAGCTAACGTGCTGGCTTTAGCAGGAGCTGAGTGCACATAACGGCTGCCAGGGGACAGGCTCAAAAGTTTGGTATTTCTCCGAATGAAGGATAATATGAGCTTGACCCAGGGCACTCGGGGCTGAATTTGTAACCATCTGTTGTTAATAGCCTGAAGTGAAACTTCAGGCAAAGGTTTCATTTCTCTTATTATTCATCAGGAAAGTCCCTGGCCAGTGACTGCAGCTTTCCTTGTTAGAGGGAGAGCTTTCTACCTGCTGCCTTGCTGAGGGGCAGGGGGGATGCAGCAGCCCCCATGCTGCTCTGCTTTGAGTTTAAGCAAGTGGCACTGAGCCTCGACAGTGAGGAACTGCTTGGAGACCGTAGAGGAATTAAGAAGCTGAATATAATACATACTCTCTCACCCTTTTCACTTCACTGACATTAAATTTAATCTTCCTAAAAATCCCTGCCCAGGAGCCTATTGAATGGCTGTGCTCCTACGACAAAAAATTTCTACACTGAAATGTACTCCTAGTGTTGCCTATCCACGAGCAAAAGCTGGTTTTAGGCTCTTTGTTAATACAAATCTCAGCCCCTTCCCAGGCCAGGACTGGGTGGAAGGACTACGTGGAAAGCATATACTTTTTTTATTCCAACTGAAATTTTGCAGACAAAGCCTTCCCATCCCAAATGGCATGGACAGATGTTCAGTTTCTGAAGGGACTCTCATTGGTCTCCTAATTGCTCTGCATTGGAAGTCTCTGTCTGGGAGCAACCAGTGGCCAGTGCCAAGAGGTACGTCAGGCAGAGACACAGAAGACTGAGATGTGATCAGATATGTTGGTAAGAGAACCATACAGACAGCAAAAGTTGCAAACAAGTTATCAGGCTTGTCTGAGAACTCCAAGAGAAACTCCCCTGCTTACTAAAATTTCTGATGGAGACTTTTAGTCAATGCTGAGCAACCCAGAAGGTAGAGAGTGTTACTCACTAAGCACAAGAAATTGGAGGAAGAAATGGCACAGAGCTATTCAACCTGCTTCTGCACAGACATTAAGGCATCTCCATTAAAAATTTTGGGTCAAAACTCAAATGTTCCATATGGGAAATGTCTCTCTTCTCTGCTTTCCTCTATGTGGTCCAAGTACAGCAGCTGAAATACAGCTTGTGAAGGCCATCAAAGTTGTGTTTCTGGATCGAAATAAGTTTTCAGCAAAAATACTTCACTAAAAGAAAATTTCTCAGGGCAGGGAGGAGCTTATCTTACTTATCTTCAAACTGCCCAGTAACCATATTGCCACAAAAGAAACACGAGCAGTAGAGATGAAAAGTCACTTTAAAAACCTACTTTCCCCCTGCAGTCTCACCTTCTCAAAATCTTTGCCAGCCATTCCTCTATAACCCGATGTTAGACTCTTACCCCTGAGGGCAGGTTGTCATGGCATGGAAAATGCTGGGCTTTGCATCTCTGCATGGTAAGTCCTAATCACTGTGATCACAGTGAGGAGCTCATCTGACCCTTAACCTTCACGGTATGTGACTGCGCTGGTGGTCCCCTTTGATGGTTTTGAACAAGTTTCTCATGAGATCACCCTTGGCAGGGCAGCATGGTAACTTGCCACTTATTTGCTGTAAGCTGTCCCATCTGCATGCTACCAATGAGTTTGCCCTTGGTTTTTTGCACATTACCTCCTCTGAGGCATCGAACTCGGATGATGCAGAAATTTCCAGAGGTAAAATTTTGGTCTGTAAGGTGCAGAACATAACCACACCACTCACTCTCTTTCTCTTCCTTCTCCCTGTCCCAAGACTGTCACTCACTGGGAAGTCTGTGCTACGCTCTGCTTTTATTCATGGGGCTGTGGCTTATTTCAAGACCTACTGGGGAGGAAGCATCTCCATGCCAGCACAGCCTCAGCTTTACATTGCTGTTCAGCTAGCACCTCTGTCTTTTCCTGCAGTTTTTGCCAGAATCCTGAAGGCTCCTGAATCCCAAAATGTCACCTTTGGGTCTGTGGTGACGTTGCGGTGTGCTGCGACCGGCCTTCCAGTCCCCACTGTCACCTGGCTGGAAAATGGGAAAGCTGTAAGTGCCTCTTTTTTCATTCTTTTGGCCCTGGAGGCTGCTAGCATCCGGAAGCACAGCCCAGGGATTAAAATGCGGGGCTGGGAGCCAGCGCCTGTGGTTTCTATTCCTGCCTTTCTTAGTGACTTGCTGTGCAATCAGGTTGAGTCCACCTCATCTCCCTGCTGCAATTTTCTCCTCTGCAAAACACTCTCCCCCTTCTCCAGGGTGTTGTGTAGATTAATTTTTTAGGGTCTGGGAAGCCCAAGATGAAGGATGCTTTAGATGCTTACAACCTTCCTCTGAGCCAGAGTTTCTAGGACTTCATCATGGGTTTAAGTATCTTTGCAGCCACCCCTCCTCACCTTTCTCCTAATGTGGTAACAATAACATGGCAAAATTGCTTATTTGACAAAATAACACAAACCAAGGTAGTTAGGTAGAGCAAACTGCCTTGAGGCAAAATATCTGTGGGACAGCATATATGCACAGCACATTTGCAGGTGAAGAGATGTGAAATTTTCTAGACTGACCTAGGTGACGCGCTGAAGTATGTCAACAATTTATTCCTGGCTAGAAGCACGTCCTCAAGAAAGGGACACCCTCTCAGTGGCAGGCACCAAGAGATGCAAATCCACTGCTTCTCACAGGAAATTGTTCTGTGGTCTAATTATCCTGACCATTTGAAATAGGTGCCTGCATTGAATTCATCTGGCTTTCATGTCCGTGTGTAAGCTATTGCAATGCCTTCCCTTCAGCTGAACTGAAGAGCCGCTTGACACCCGATATTGCCTCCCCAGCAGTGAGCGGTGCACCACAGTCACAGCAGCTCTGCAGCCTGAGCCTGCCATGGGTTTCCTCCAGTCTTGATATGGTTATGGTGGACATGTTTTATACTCTCTGTGGTCTTTCCACTGCTTTTTTAAGGATGTGAGCCCCAGGGCGTGATGCTGTGGAGGCAGGTGGAGCAGCCACAGCTTGCAGGCTGGCACTTTGCCTCTGGTCTTTCTCATTGACCCCCTGTCAACCACTAGTCCTTCTGGCCATCAGCTGGCCATGACCATTCTTGTGGACTTGCCTGTCGAACAGGACGAATAAATCCTCTTGCTCAAGTTCCTTACTTCAGGAGGCTATCCCCATCCTGCTCTGTATCCCCTCTTTCCATGTATTAAAACACATTATTAAGGAGCCTGGGCTACTCTGTAGGCTGTCTTGCCTTCCTTATCTCCTCTAAACCTTATTGCGTCCTCCAGTCTGATGAGGGCTAATTTTCAATATTCTCTTGAATTTGCTAGGGAGAACAGCAAAGGGATCAGATCAGCTTCTGCAGGCCCCTGTGGGTCCTCAGTAGTTTCTGGAGATAATTATTTTGAGACAACTGCAGATGTGCATTCAAGACTTCTTCCTCATTGGAGAAGAAATCTTTTGGGGTATCTGGGGTCCCTGGCAAGGGCAGAGTATTTCCAGAGCACAGACCGCTGCTCTGCCAAGCTGCCGCCAGTGCGTCGGTACCACAGAGAGCTGTGTGTGAGACGATGCTCAGCTCCTGCCTGGGGCCGCTGCCTGGCTGGTCAGATTCACTCTGCCCCATTCCCGTCTGCGAGGCAAAGTCCAGTCCCTGGAGAGTGGTGCTCCAGACTGCTTCATTTTAAATATGACAGAGAGACCTTAACGAGAACCCGATGCTGGGAAAGTCAGGCCAGGAAGGAGGTGGACTGAAACTCATGCATTTGAGGGCTGGCTCACAAGCAAACAATGGTGAGTCATTTGAAGATGCAGCGTGCCTGCGGCATTATGGTCTCTGAATGCTGACCTGTAATTGTCCTGAGGTTTAAAGAGTGGGAATCTGCAGAGGTTGTTGAGATGCCTTTGAAGAGGAGGATGGAAACTCCTCTGGGCAGCAGCTGCCTTGCCTACCTAAACAGAAACACAATTCCTTTTCCTCCCACTATGCACCATGGGGCATCATGGACCTTAAACGGTAGTTTTCCACACCACAAAGAATAAGTAAGCCAGGTGTGAAGAGGGGTCTGCTTTGGTGGTGGCTGAAGTGGCGTTTTAGAGGCTAAAAAAAGACCTGCCGGAAACAAAATTTCAGGGAACGTATTTGAAAAGGGAAAGGAATCAATTAAGACAAGGGAATGGCTTGAGGTTCCCAGTGGAGTAGACAACAGCTGGCTGGTGTGGAAGTCCTAGGTACAACTACCTGACACTTTCACGTGTGATGTTTCACAATATATGTGACCATGCATGCTGCTCATACTGCTTGCAGCTACCTGAGCACCCTTTTCTTCCCATGGCCGAAGCCAGGAGGAACAATCCTGGCTCTCCATGCTTACCAGGCAGAGTCCAGCACTGCCGGGAGGGGAGCTAACAGATGGGGTATGCCTGAGGCCTGAGGGGTAAAGAGGGAGAGAGGACTGGATCAGCACAAGTGGCTCAGAGCAAGCGCCCACCTCTCCTGGGTAGATGCTGGGAGGCAGGTGCAGCCTGTAAAGAAATTCCTCCTTTCCACCAGGATGGTCCCAGTGGTGTCTTAGTGCTGAGTGGTTTCTGGGGAGAAAAAAATTTCTAAAAATAAATCTGACCAGTACTGTAATAAAAGAGAAATTTGTGAGAAAATATGCCCTGAGTCCCCATCCACCTGAACTGAGGTCACAGCATGAAGCCAAAAAATATCCCTGGTCCCTCCGTTTGCATGGTGACCAGCATACCCCCCATCCTTGATGCAATACTTAAAATAACTGTGTTGGTCTGGTTATTTAGTGATTTCTTCCCATGCACATTACCTCACTACAACTCCAAGTTGAGCTTGAGTGACGCAAAACAAATACATTAATTTCAGCATTTTGTTTTCAGAGAAACACATCTTTACCAAAGATATGATAAAACACTGATGCATCCTGTCTTGCTTTTTCAGTTATGGCTGTTTATACCTTTGGGAACAGACACAGATTCCATTGAAATCGCATTTCTACTAACCTCCAGGAAGGTCAGATTGGTCTCTCTAACCTCTCAGATAGATGCATAGATGGAGTGCTTTGCTGGGATGGATCCAGGGAGACAACTCTCACTGTCCTTAGGGCCAGGACACACTGGTGGGATTCAGGGGCAACTGCATCTCACTTGAATTACATTTGATGCTTCCTATCAGTATGAAGAGTAAAGCAGGCAATGTTGCTCCTTCCTACTGCCTTTGCAAGGTACAGTCTCAGTGTACCATGTCCTCCTACTTTAATAAATGCCACATGAGCAGGAGAGCTGTTGGTCAAAATCAGCAGGCTCCAAGCTCATTTACTGGGAATTCTGACCTGGGAAAAGAGTTGGCCAAAATCACCACATCTGCAGCCCCTTTCATATTTCTAGGTGTGAGATAAGAACATGTATCAGATATCTGCAAAAGTGTAGGAGACAGAGCACTTGCTTTGCTCACGACTGCTTTAGAAGTGTGGCAGTGGTTGTATTAACCCAGAATCAACAACTTCCAAACTATTTTCTTTTCTCCTTCTGTATAGCCATGGTCCACAAAACCATCTTATGCCCTTCCTTGCTAAGGCATCAATAGGCAAACAACTTATGAGAAGAGGTCCTGACTAATTGGCCAGCTCAATTACATGAGCAAAACTGAGACTACAGCCCTCTGGAACTGAAAATTAATTGCAGATATATTGCTGAAGTGCAAAATAGGAGAGATCTTTAACATTTGCTTTTGTCTGTGAAGTCAGCTGCTATGAAAGCACTAAAATACTGCCAGCAGCTTGAGCTCTTTGCCACGTTTATCTGCTTGCTACATATTTCTCTGCCAATTTAAATGCTTGGGGCTGGGTCTCTTAGGTTTTTCCTTGGTTTGTTTGTTTGCCTTTGTTGGAAATATCACTGCACTGGGCTTTTCGCTGTCTTAGGTTTCTGCAGGGTCTATAGCGGAAAGTGTCAAGGACAGAGTGGTTGACTCGAGACTGCAGGTGTATGTCACCCGACCTGGCCTGTTCACTTGCCTTGCCACAAACAAACACAGCAAAACTTTTGGAGCTGCAAAAGCCGCAGCAACCATCAGCATTTCAGGTATGCTGGGAGAGAAGGGGTCATTAGTTTTTTACCCTTGCAATCGCAGTCCTAGCTTCCCTGCTGGGGGAGAGGAAAGGGGTGTGAAGTAATCTGAAGGAGGAGGGAAAGCCTTGGAGAGCTGATAGTGTGCAGGGGGCTAAATTTGAGTACAAGAGCATCCCCCGCCAGGCTATTTGCTCATATATGCTTACACTTTGGAGACTGGCACTGCTGTCATTTCCTGAATGTTTGATGCCGTCTTGTACTTTGTGTCCCAGAAGCACACTTGGTAAGTTCATCCATGTGGAGGAAGTCATGGCCATGACCCAGCATTGGTATCACCTAACAGCAAGGTGAAAATAGCTTTTGTGAGCAGTTTGGCTTCTCAGAGGGTTGCATCCAGAAAGCAGGGAGGTTGCTGTCAGAGCAATACCATTCCTGGGTAAACTCTGCTCCCAGGTACATCTCTTGTTGGTCTCTTCTGTCAGTTGGCTGGAGATAGGACAAGACGAAATGGCCTCAAGTTGAGGCAAGGGAGATTTAGGTTAGATATTAGGAAAAATTTTTTTACTGAGAGGGTTGTCAAACATTGGAATGGGCTGCCCAGGGAAGTGGTTGAGTCACCATCCCTGGAGATATTCAAAAAGTGAGCGGACGGGGTACTTCAGGACATGGTTTAGTGGGCATAGTTGATGGTTGGACTCGATGATCTTGAAGGTCCTTTCCAACCTAAATGATTCTATGATTCTATGATTCTATCTCCCAAACAGGGAAAGGATGATCCAAAGAGGGGAAATACCGGTGGTCTGAGCTAGCTGACAGCATTTGTCACACCAAGAGAAAGGTGGAAGCTTGTGCCTTCCCTCCTGGGACAGGAAAGCAGGGGTTTAGTTAGAGGAAAGAGGAATCACCCTGGACTCCAGACATGGAGTGGTAGCCCTGGTCCTGCTGTCAACGAGACATGCACCTGCCCCTCTCTCTGTGCCTCAGGTTCTGCTCTGTTGAGAAAATAACCATGCCCTTTCTTACACAGGGCATTGAGACCTAGCAGCAAGCTCTTCCCATAAGACACTCAGCACTTGTACCATATTCACATCCCTACTTCTGCTTTTAGCCCAGGCAAGGCTTTGCCCCACAAGGCAGAGCTGCAAATGCAGTAGGGAGGGCAGGTGCCTGAGGCCGGTGGCAGAAGCTGCACTGCTCTTCTCCAGGCTGCGTGTGCTCAGCAAGAAGGGAGCACCCCCCAGACCTGAGCAGGAGGCTGCCGTGGTCTCGTCGCAGCTTCCAGGGGTCCCAGGGCAGAGGGGTCCCGGTCCTTGGCCAATGCTGAGCCTCCTCCCCGTGCTGGCGCAGCCCAGGTCCCTCTGGTGCTGCAAGCGGGGGGCACAGCCATGTGCCCTGCCCTGCTCCTCCAGCCCTGGTTTCTCCCACCTGTTACAGATGCTGCCTGCAGTGAGGGGTGCATGGGTGCCTTAAACAGAGAATGCTACGCGCCAGTTATCTAGGACCCAAGGATAAGGGTAAAGGTGTGGGTTTAGGGTGCAACTGCCCACCTCAGCAAGAACTGCAGTCAACAGTGCACTTCCTCCTCATTCCCTTGTCCCATATGGCATCCAGTGTTGCCCAACTCTTCTTCCCCACAAGAAGCTGCAAAATAAGGACAGAATTTAGCTGCATCCTTTTCAGACAGCTTACAGGTCTCAGACAGATTTCCTAGCATGGAAATCTTAACTCCCACATCTCAGAGGGGGCAATGAAGTGTCATTGATGTCTTTTCCATTCTTTCCTTCTCCTGGCTCATCACAATTCCTGGATCTGGTGCCTCTCGGCAGAGTGGAGGTAAGAATGACTTTCTGTGGCTGCCTGGGGGTTTCCTCTGGGCCGGGGAGGAGAACGATGAACCAAGGGGATTTGGTTAACTTGGCTTCAGTGAAGGGACTGGGTTTCTGGATGCCTGAGGTTCACCTGAAGGGAACGCTGAGCTCCTTTATACAGGCATAATTGGAGACTGGGCCCAGGTAGATAAGGATGTTTCTGTATTGAGCAAGCAGTGGATCACACGCCAGTAAGGGTATTTAAAATACAGTAGTGGGCAGAATATTCTGGAGTAAATTCTGTTCACAGTTACACATCCACAACTTCACTGACCTTATAAATTTACAGGCAAAAGCTTAACTGCCTGTTAAACTCCTGTCTGTACACAGCCAATAAATGTATTTTGGTTCGGTGGTAACCAGATTAGGGCAAGAGAAGTTTAGATTTTTGTTCCAAGCAGAGTTATGGATGAGTAAAACCACTTGTATGTGATCAGACATGCACTTTTGCTTAGTATTTTTTGGAGTACTGAACAATTTGGCTGGCTTTTTCTTTTTATAGTCCTAGCATATTTCTGCATGTTGCACTGGCAGATCAGTCTGGAAGGAAAATGAGAGGTTTAGCCTGTGAGCAGGGCTGGGAGCTGCTGGCCTTCAGAGAAAAGAGCAGAGTCTGAGATAACCTGAGCAAATGGCTTTGCCACTCTGCTGACACAGGCTCCCTGCAAAGGCTCTTGCCTCCCTCGCAGGGGCTTGCAAGATTGATTCAGGAAGTTTGTAAGTGATTTAGTGACCACCTGATGGTGATGGCAGACTTATGCCTTACACCTGCACCCATGTAGGTGTGACAGATGTGGGAACAGTCATCAAATGCTCAGCCCTTCTGTCCTGCAGTTGTTCTCAACATTTGCTGCATGAAATTCCCTTTCTGTGACAAGGCATTTTGAGAAACCTGTTGTTGCTGCTTCTCCATCACAGCCTGGTCCATGTCCTCCCACAGGTTTTAAAAAAAGGAGGAAATGCAGTATTAGCACTAGTAGCTCTTGTCAGGCTGCTTCTGCAGCCCGCTGAAGTCACCAGCACAGCTGCCCCATGCACACCTGTGCCCTCTTTTTCCTCTTGGGCCACAGGAAGGATGCACCTTTCAGATTAAGCACAACAGGCATCATCAGGAAAATGTGAATAATGTGACCTCTGTCATGCCAAGGACAGCTCTAGCAGGCTGCTGGAGGAAGGAGCACAGTGCTGTGGGGAAACCTGCTCTGTGTCAGAGAGATGTCACCATCAGGGACCAGCGCAGGATCCTGGGGGCTGCCTGTATAACATGAAGGGGTGTCCGTGGAGCCTGGGGTGATGCAGGGTGTCACAGCATCTTTGCTGTTTTGGTACTACCTCAAGGAATTGGTGCCTTCCTGTATTTTTTAGCCAGTGTGACATATAGAAAAAAAAAAGAAAAAAAATTGACATCGAGCCCAAAGTAGTGCAGCTAAACCAGGGCCAGGGAGTGTCATCTGCAGACCATGGCATCTGAGAAGCAGAAATTTGGGCATCCTGTGTAAGTCCTCATCCGTGTACCTCCAACTTCCAGAAGAAAAACAGCAAGAACCCTCAGGGTTGACAATGGGTGATTATTTGGACAGGGAAAAGAAATAAAAGGCAAAGATACAAATACTCTGCTGGCTACTCCAAATGGTTGGCGTGTTGTGAATTGAACTCCCTGACCCCAGTTACGCTGACCGAATGAGCAGTGGGGACAGCTGCACCCAGCCCTCCTCCCTCCCTGGTTTGGCCATCCGCCGCACACAGGGGAGGCTGTTTTCCCAGGTTTCCCCCTCTCCCCCTACCAAGGGCACTGCATCCCACAGTTTGCCTGGGTGGAGGGCACAGCCTCACCTGCAGACCTTGCTGCCGTGGGGCAGCCGTGGGAGCTGCTGGGAGCACGGCTGACCTGTGCGTGCCCTCTCCCTGCTGCTCCCTTTTGATGGCTGTGGGAAGAAGGGAGGGAGGGATGACAGCCGTCTCCTGCTAGATGCAAAAAACGCGGGAAAGATAAATAAACAGCCCACGAAGGAGCTGACCCTGCTGCGTAATTTATTGCTCCAGCATAGCTCTGGCCCCATGCTTTGCGGCAGGAGTTTGCAAAGCAGGAGATATGGTGAACAGAGTGAGAGGACAGACCTTGCAGGGAAGCACCAGAAAGAAAATTGCAGAGGCTTGTGCCTTCCTCCTCCCTGCGTCGCCCACCCAAACATGCGCGGAAGAGAGGCAGGGTCAGGAGGGATGCAGGAGCCAACGAGGGGCAGGCAGGACCTTGGTTGGTCTGATCTTATGAAGAATTTCCTGGCATGTGTTGGGTGGGACTCACCTGGCTCCTGCTCATCGAGTCCATCCAAAATTAAACTGTTGCTAGTCAGCAGAGCAAAAAAGCCTGAGTTATCACAGGTGTGCAGCAAGCAGCACAGCTGATGTCTACTGCAGGGAAGCAGGAAAACAAAACTTTTCCCCATTCCCACCCTGGGGGCAGGGTGAGAGGCCATGCTAGGTCACAGCTGTGCATGATTGCTCAGTCTTTTTGCCCACTTACAATGCTAGCAACCCTCGGCCAGAGCCTCAGCCATGGTGCTCACCAGGAGGGCCCTGTGCTCACACTGGGGATCCTTGCAAAAGTTTCATTTTTGGATGGTATTAGCTGTTTTTAGTGGTTATAACCATCTACCCTCCCCTCCACCCTCTGTTAGCTTTACAGATGGCACTTTATTCAGAAACAGATGCTAGGCATCCTGCTCCTGCAGGTGTTTAGGTCTGTGAGTTTACTGTGTGTGTATGATCTTGTCCTCGACAGCAAGCTGTACAAGGGTGATGCAGGCTACTGCAGCACATACAGAGGTGAGGTGTGTAGTGCTATCTTGGCGAAGAATGCTCTTGTTTTCTTCAACTCCTCCTATGCTGACCCAGAGGAGACTCAAGAGCTGCTTGTACACACTGCCTGGACTGAACTGAAAATGGTGAGTTCATTCTGCCAGCCGGCCGCTGAGTCTCTGCTGTGTAACTACATCTTCCAGGAGTGCAATCCCTCGGGAGCTGGGCCAGCTCCAAAACCAGTGTGCAGGTAAATGAAAAAAAAAAAGCTCATCTTTCACTTTCATTTTGTGGGGATGTGTAGGCAGCAGGGGACTGGTGAGGATCTGTCCAGACCTGCAGTAGCACTGAGTGAAAATGGGCCCTCTAGGTTTGCATGGGTTTTCCCTTTGCTCTCTCCTCTGTATGCACAAAGATGACCTGATCCAGCTCTCTCTGTGCTCATTGCTAGGGCACAGACTGACTTACAGGCCCAGATGTCTGTGTTATATCAGGCTTTCAGTGGACAGTGTTGAAAAGAAATATCCATTTGAATGACATAATTGATTTAAATAATTAACATATTGCTATTGGTTAAATCTTACTAGGTCAGTATGTGCTCATTATTACTGTCAAAAGTAATTGCTTGTTTGGATTTTAACTAAATATGGTCACAGTGTGTGCAAAAAATCTGGCCAAGGCAATACACTAATCATTCAGCACTTCCCACCACAACGAAGATGAAACAAAAAAAAGACAACACCATAGACACTGCCGGTGTAATTGTACCTGCTAAACCAAACCTTGCATCTGGCTCTTGTATCCTACCATATGCAGAGAAATGTGCTTTGAAACAGGGCTGGCAGGGACCCCGAGGAGTCCAAAGCATCTCCCACTACAGCTAATCCACTGCTGACAGGTGTCTGTGTGACACGTCCCAGCGACAGAGACACTGCTCCCTCCCCATGCAACCTCCTGAGCAGCCCTTCCCTCGTTGTTCCCTGTCCTCCCACCATGGCCACAGAGACGAGTTTCTTCCCCTCCTCTTTGCAGTGAGATTTTATGTCTTCCCCAACTTCTCAGACTAGAATAAAGCAGTTTTTTTTCCAAGCTAAGCCCATAGGTCCTGTTTTTCCAGCCTCTGAAGCTTCTGCTCCTCATCTTCCCTTAAGCAATAAACATATATAGCCTCCAGCCCAGGTTCTTTTAGTGTTAACTATAACAGAACAATCATTGTTTGGTGTGCCTTGCAGAGGACAGCCCCATGTAGGTATCTCAGGATGAAGCTTTCTTTTTTCTTAACACAACTGTTGGCCACATCTGATTAATATCAATTTTCAGCCCCTGGAGGACTGTTGTCTGGTCATTACCCATTTCACGTTTGGACAGCTGACACCCCTGCCTAAGTTCAGTACTTTGCTTTTGCCCTTCCTGAACTGCATCTTAAAACAGATTATTCAGATTTGTGTTTCTCAGGAGAGCAGCCCCAACTCTATTGTCTCAACTAAAATACAAGTCTTCTATGCAGACTTGGCAAGCACACCACCAGCTGGACTTGGGCCAGGTGTAGTCTACTGGCAATTATTTTTCCAGTTATGTAGGGGCTTTTTAGGACAATAAGCAGCATGTTGTCTTTGTAATCTGGACCTTTCTGATTGCTCCTCCTTTAATATCTCTAAAACGAAGGCACAGAGGAAAATCCCAGCACGAAGCTTGACAATATATTCTGTCCTTTATTTGGTGCCTATGCTGTTTGGTGTTCCTCCACCAGCACAGTAGTGCTATATATCCTACAAAAGGAGTGTATGTGCAAGTATCCACAGATAATCATGCAGCCAAGTACTGAAACTTGCTTTTTGCTGGCAGACTCCTCCCTGCCCCCTTGTTGTTCTGCTCTTTGTCATTGTGCCCTTTACGACATGATCTCTCTGCCTTTTTTCAAGATGTGTGACAGTATTTGTATCTAAGCCACACATGCACAGCACATTTGTCAGCTAAGGATTTTGCACAGTGCTGCACAAGACATTTCAGTGAGATTGGGTCTTGCTTCATTTACCCTGCTCATGAGTGGCCCTGCAGGACCAGGACTTGTGGTGATTAGACTGAAGACCTGCACTTGAAGTCAGGGTGATATAAATCAGCATATATCTGCACTTGATCTCGAGCTAACAGGTACAGCATTTGCAAATATATCTAAATCTTAATGGACTTACCTGGCATCATTTTCCTTCAAATCCATGAGTCAATGTTATGTTTTTTTCCCCCTTTAATGATTTTCCCCAGTGATTTTAATGCAGATTTAAATGCAGCTTTCTTCATAACAAGCCCTGGAATGGCATCCTTCCCGTTTCCTGTTCCCAGAGCAATTCAGCTGGACAACAGTTCTTCCAAAGCCCTAACCCAATACTCCTTTTGATAACTCAGATATCTAATATGTATTTTGAACAGCTGAGACCTCTGGGGGCTCTTGAACACATTTCACATGGTCTCGGCTACTTTCCAATTATCTTACCTGCTTTTTACTGACAACTTTATACCTCTGCAGAAACTGGCTAGACTGCGCCAGTTTTCAGCTGAAATACTTCATGAATAAGAATTTAACTATCTCACAGGCCAGAGATTTCTTCCAGTTTTTGAGGGACATGCTTCGCTTGACATATTTCCATGTGTTTTTGTCTTGTTATTTATTCTCTGCACCACTTTTTCTCTCCCCATGTCATTTTTTATGTTCATTTTGGTTTGGAAGCTAGTTAGCAAGAATAACAACTGACAAACAGCCTAAGTAAAGCTTTCATAAAAATAATCAGGGGGTAGAACAAGAAGTGAAACAGAAGAAAATGTGGGCAATATTTCACTTCATATAAATTAGGATGCAATTTGAATAAAAAATTAGAGTTTTCCTGTTTTTAAGGGAGAGTGATGTCTCATCTCATAGTTCTTGATTATATATACCTTTTACCATCTGCTGCTTCTGTAAGAGCAAAAGAAAACCCCTCAATTTCTGTTTCAACCACTGCTGATATGAAGTGACCAAGCTGCAAGCAACAGTCTCGTGTTGGGAAACATCTCACTTTTGTCTGGGTCTGTGTTCCCCACCTCATCTTAAACAGTCCTTTTTGGTCCCTGAAACGCTACTGACCCACTTGTCCTCTCCTGCTGCTACTGTTCTTTGTCCATCTGTCATTTACGTGACATAAAATTTCTAATAATAATCTCTAGTAATCTTTGCATATGATCTCATCAAGCTCTCGCTGCTGAGGATTAAGTGTTATAACAATGGTATGAACCCAGCTTGAGGAGACTGACCATCCCTCCCTCTGGCTGCCTCACCGTGCTCCTGGGGTGGGTTTGTGGGTGAAGATAACGTGCCTTTAATGCTGGAATGGACAGGATTGCAGAGGAATGGTCTTTCGCATTTTGCAGTTGCACACTGAATAAGGGGCTTGTTTAACGATGGTCAGGCTTCAGGAGTGAAGGCAGCTAATGCAATCCAGATCTCCAAGCCCTTCAAATGCAAGATTTTCTCATTTGTCTTGCTAAACATTTCTTTACTTCAGAAGGTCATTCCTGTTCCACATGTTGTTTAACATAAAAAAGATAAATTACCCCATCTGGCTGCATTCTGGCTTTCGGGGAAGTGAGGAAGGAATAAACCAGCACTGGCTGAAACCAAGCACGTGGCAGCTGGGCTTCGATGGCTTCAGCCTGCAGACTTGAAGGGCATCCATTGCTGTTGCAGAAAAGCTGCTGCCTTCGTAGAATTCCCAATGGCCTCCATCCTTCAGGTGCTTTAGAGGGTTTGCAGTCTTGGTAGTAATCGCCGAAACTCATGGCCATCTGCTTTTGCCAGAACAGTTGTATAAGTAAAGAGACTATATCAGCCCACCAGGTGATGAATTTGGCAAAAACTTTCACCATTTGCAGTGATGCAGTACCTTTCTGCATCACGGTGTGATGGTTGGGAAGGATGTGAATCCGTAAAGGACTTCAGCTGAGCTCAGAAAAAGTAATCACTGCACATGACCTTAAAGCTGATTTTGCAACTCAGGGTCTCAGGAATGAGTACACAAATAAGCAAATCATGCATACATTGTCTTTTTTTTTTTTTTTTTTTTTTGATAGAGCAGGTATTTCTGCCTTGGCCTTCTTCACAAACAGTTTCTGATCTAAGCAACATTTAAACATCCAAAGCACTTCTTGTCAGTCAATGTTTCACAGTGTTATGGAGGTAATACACTGGGTAGGAGACAGGTGTCTTGTTTTACCAGGCACAGTAAAGGTTTTGCTGCAGACAGCTGAGAGATTAAAAAGGGACTGAAAGTTGTCTGTGGAGGAGAGAAGAAAATTGGATGGGTGATTCTGTGAGATTAAAAATACAGGCAAATATTTAGTTTAAGAAGATTTAAGAATTGTAGCTCACCCCTGTCTTTAATAGATGACGCTTTAATGTACAATTTACAGAAGATAGGTAAGATTTTTAGAATGTGCTGAAAAATGCTAACTCCCAGACATGATGTTTATTAGTAGAAGATGACAATGAATCTGTAGGAAAAGATGGGAATGAACTCTTCACAGACTGTGATGTGTGTTGTGTTTTGAGCATAACCCTTCTAGTTAAAAAAGCAGCTTTGTGGGTTTCCTAAAGGAAGCTGTTACATTTTATACAGAGTTTCCTTTATGGTTTATGAGCCAGACAGACTGGCTTAAAGAAGCACAGCACAGTTAATGGATTTCTGTCAGCCTGCACAACCCCTGCTCACCACTGCTAAGTGCAGCCATTGTTATCAAGACATTGACTGCTGTATTTCACTGTTTTTTGCAAAATAATGTAGAGAGAATTGCCTTGCTGTAAAGGATCTCTACTGCTTTAAGGAATGGCTCTCAATGGAGGAAAACTCTCAGAAGGGGATTTACAAGCCAGGGCTGATGCTGCTCACACTTCCTGAATGCAACAGGCTGCCCAGCCTGCACCAGGACCCCAGCACCTGCACCCGCATCCCTTTTTTTGGTAAGGTGGCACAGGCTGCCCGTTGTCCGGAAAGCTGTGGTCTTGATGAGGGAGGGGGAAGGATGTGATCCATAATTTACAACTAAAGTAAAGGCTGATGGTGGGTACCGTCCTGTCAGTGCCTGTGCACAGAACTGTGACAGTCACATCATCTGTTTGCCTGTCTCATCTGACTGGGGTGGGGGAAAAATCCTTCAAGTGAATAAAGCCTGTCTCTTTATTGGGAGGGTCATAACAATCTCATTGCCAAAATCAGTCTTAATGTTGGCAAAATTGCCATTCAGTTGCCATTGCAAAGAAACAAGCTGCTTAAGCACTGCTGGGAGGGAACTTTTTCCCATTGCATGCTCCTAAGCAAGCACCCAGTTATATCACATTCTGGACAACCCCTCCTTACATCTTGTCTTGTCTTTTTACAGATTTTAAGAAGGAGAATATAACCAGTAAGTAGGCTGCTCCAGGCTCTATGTTTCTAGAGGTGGGCATGATATTCTTTGTTGAAGATGCAGCTTGCACAGCATTTTTGTGTTTTGCTCTGGTCCTGGCTGGCTGGATTCAGGTTATTACCAGGGAATGCCTGAACTTCCACATTCAAGGCATAGGGAAACACATTTCCAGCTCTTCAGAGCTTGGGGAGAACGTGGGCTGGAGCTGTTGAAGCCGATTAGAGAGACATGGTGCTTTTAGTTGGTACCCTTCCCTCCAACTGTTTCCCCTTCTTTCTACCCGTTGCTTCTAGTTTTGCTTTACCCATATTTGGTATTTCTGACACTGCTACTGAGGTCACCCCAGCCTTATATGCTGTTACTGACATGGTTACCTACATCAGGCTGGCCTTGCAAGACCTTGCAAGACCCAAAAGGCCCCAGTACTCTTCCAATTATCTCTGAAGTCTGGCTGTTTCTTGCATGACCCCCACAACCAATGGCAAGACCCAGCCATCCCCTGTGGCACTGCTGTGACTTCTGCTGGCCTCCTGCCCTGCTGCTGGTCACGGCTGAAACATGCACATCCAGCTCTTCCAGCTGACATGCAACTGGAGTTTAAAGCTCAGCCACTGAACTTGTCCTGTTGGAAGAAGGAAGGACCTCCCTCCTGCCATGCTTCTGAGCAGGCGAGGTCTGTAGATTTGGCAGTGGCAGGCAATTTCTGCTTGGAAAGAGAAAGTGAAAAAAAGTGAAATTGAGAATTTTGGGGAATTTTCTTTCATGGGAAGGCCTTGGCTCCACCTGGCCACCCAAGCCCCAGGCACCTGGTGGTGCACACCTGGGAGACAAGGGCTTTGGCAACCTGTGGACACTCCAGCGTCACTGCCCAATGCTTACAGCCTGCAGCTGCAGCCATCCCCTCCCTGGAGAAAGGACCACAAGGGAGGGATGCCAGCAAATGAGTGGTGCATTCATGGGATGCTTTCAGCCTCCCCTTGGATGTTTGCAAGTTCAGGACATGGCCTCTGTCTCTTGTGTAAATGTGTGACCTTTTTGTTCAGCTTTCGCAGTATTTTCCCAGGGTGGCATTGCATAGATGTGCACTATTCAGTCATGAATCAGGGAGACATAACGGTAACATTTTAGTGATACTGCCCCCTCTTTTTTTTACTTTAGAGCCACTGTTATGTGTACAAAGGTTTGGGGAGCATGAACCAAGCCATCTTCTATTTTGCCCATCAAAGTTATTCATTAAAGCCCTGTTGGACCATCTTTATTATTCCTTCTGTCCTCATTGTAGCAAGACCATGTATGAGAGTGTCTGCATTTTCCAGGCCACCAAGGACTTAGGGGTGCTTTCTTAGTGTTGCTGTTGCCCCTAAAGCTCTCCATATTGCTCCTCTAAGGTGTCACATTGACGTTTATTTCAGATCTGTGCAAAAGTTTTTTTCATGTTGGTTACTAGCTCAGTCATGAGGCAGGTTTCAGGCATTGCTTTCCCTGCCTCTCAAAGCAAGACATTTAAAATGCTGGGCCTAGACACACAACTTTGTTCTAGGGCAGCTTAACAAGATTTTACACCTCTGCAGAGCTACAGGTGCTGGTTATGTGGGGGCTGCTAGCTTGTTGCAGATGTAAGGCATAACATGGTAGCTTACATATAAGTCGAAGAAGTCCAAGTTAGATCTTTACTTTGCATTTGTTATGGGTTAAGTTTGCTCATGAAGTCCATGGCCATTCCTATACTGAGGTATTCGCATGTCTTGGGCTACAGGAACTTGATCCTGTGTTCGAGCTCACTCACATGGACCAATATTGTTATGGTGGTGTTTCTACCTACCGATGTGTAGTGCCTCGTGAAAGTTCAGAAAGCTAAGGGTCTATAGAAGACCCATAACTGCAAACCTGAGCACAGTGGGTAATGCAAGAAGAAAAGAGCAGATAGTCATCATGATGCATTTACTGTGTTCCTCCAACAGGAGAAACAGGACAAAACACATAGCCTTTGTTTCAAACTTGGATCAAAACTTATACAAAGCTTTCATGAAGCTGCAAAAGATTTGCTTAAAAAAAAAATCTTTATTTTAAAACAGGTCAGGTTTCCTCCTGTTTTTCTTTTTGCTGAGCTGCAAGAACACAACAGAAAATAAAATTATGACAACAGTGTTTGCTGGCTTGTTAATTTATCTAACAAGGTTAATAATGCAGTGGACCCTAATGCATGCCATCAACCAGAATTCTAGCCCCTGGTCAGCAGAGTTTACATAAGATTAGCTAGCATGTGTTAAAGTCTATAAGATGGCATTCCCTCTGTTGTCTTCCTGCTTCCTAGATTATGCCAGCATGCATTAAAGTCTCCTGTGAGGACAGGTGGTGTCTACATTTATGTTTTGGGAACATGTTCCCGCAGTAAAATTCTCTCAAGGCTTTCTGCTTAATTTTTCTGCAGCTGGAGTAAGCCTTGTGTATGGAAACTGAACTACACATTCGTCATTATAAAGAGCATTATTTTATACTGATACTATTCCTTCAGATCTGTGTTGTTTCCATGCATGCTGGAAACCATAGGCTGATTCCAAACATTCAGTCTAAGAGGACAAGCACTGCACAGAGGCAGGGAGGAGAGATACCACTGTATCACTGGGACTTTATGAAGCCCAGCTCTCTGCTACCTACCCTAGGAATGTGGGTGTCTTCCTGTTAGCTCCCCTGTAAGACTGCAGGCTGGAAATCATGCAATCAGTGCTGCAATTTGCTTTCTGCCTTGGTTTGGCATGGGTGGCTTCACTGTGGTCCCGCTCTGCACTTTCTGCATGGAAGTGCTGTGAACTAGGTAGATGTGGCGCAACCATTGCAGGTGCACGGCCTGTTTTCTCAATCTGGAAGAGCTCCAGTTCCCTCTTGGAGTTGTACCAGATTTGATCTTATGTATTGAGCTCAAAATCCATTTAAGTGTGAACAACAGGCTAAGCAGTTCCCTGCCTGCAGTTGTCTGGTCCTTTTACGCGCTTCAGAGCTGTTGCTAATTGCCACATGCTCTCATGCAATGATGTGAAGTTTACTTTTGCAAGTCCTTGCTGCAGGACATGGCCTGAGATGCCTTGACCCTGTGTTTTGGTTTTTTTTTTCCTCAGGGACTTGCTACAGTGGCAATGGCCAGTTTTACCAGGGCTGGGCCAACATCACGGCCTCTGGCATTCCCTGCCAGAAGTGGAGTGACCAGGTGCGCATCAGTGTGAGACCCCCCAAATGGAGAGCCATGCTCGAGGTCTGCTTTTCCAAAGTTTCCCAGAGCCAGGCAGCCCAGTCACAGTGGAAGGGCTGAGCGGGGGACAGGTTGCCTTCATTCTTGAGTTCACTGGTGTTTCAAACCCTCTTCCATACTTCAATCTGCAAGTTCCCCTTCCCATGGCAAGATGGGCTCTCTGTCATTCTGGCAGGCTACTGAAAGGCTGTTTTACCTCTGCCTTTCTTTGATCCTTTGTTTTGTTCTGTTTTGTTTTGCTAATACCAGCAGGAAAAATTATACTGAAACACTAATCCAATTTGTTTCCTCCCCCAAGGCTCCCCATTTGCACAGGAGGAATCCTCAAGTTTTTCCTGAGTTGTCTGATGCTGAGAATTACTGCCGCAATCCAGGAGGTGAGAATGAACGTCCCTGGTGCTACACAAAAGACCCATCTGTGACCTGGGAATACTGCAGCGTGTCTCCCTGTGGAGATGGTAGGCAACTGCAATTTATGATTTCTGCCACTGCATTTGCAAGATGTTTGCATACCGAATGCTCACAGCCACACTGATCTGTTCTGTCTTCTGGATTCAGCCAGTCCTAGTCCTTCTCATAGATTCACTCAGCATATTTAACCGGAAGGTGTAATGTGCACCTTAAAGATGGGAAAATGAAGACAGGCAAATTGAGCACCTTGCCCTGGATTATATTAAGGCCAAAGGATGAAATTGAATTTCCTGTGGTATCAAAAATGGATTTGCCACACTGTATTTTGAGGAGAGAGTAGAGTTTTGGGCTATTTTCCAAAGTTGCTTTGGTTCTGGCAACTTTTTTCAATGATAAAAACCAATTCTAACTAAAAAGAAATCTGAAGAAGACAGAAACATCTTCGCTCTGTGATGCTGAAACTAAGTCTTCCCCTTATTTCTTGTTCAAAGACTAGAACAATTTTTGAAACATATTTCATCCAAGGTGCAGAGTTTCTGGATCTCAGTGTTTTGAAATAAGACAATTCTGCTTGCACACAGAACAGGGGTGCTGTGGACTTAAGAGAACGCAAGTCAGTATCAGTTTAGCTGACCTTAAAAAGAATGGTTTAAATTTCTTTCTGTTCTCAATCACTGCATGTACAGATTAGCATTTTCTAGAATGTCTCAGAAAGTACTCAGTAGTTGACTACCTGAATAGTATTTTTCTAATGATACAGCCAAATGTATTTTACACTAGTTTAACATATTTGCCCCATAAAGATGCTGAGATGCAAATTGTTGGAGGCAAGGGGATATTTCAGGAAAGTATCACTGTGTACTTACTTGGTCATACACTCCTCCCTGCAGATTCCTTTTAGGACACACGATACATTGTGGTCCACATTGTAGACCATTGATCTTTCCCACTGCAGACATTACTATATTTGAATACTGTTGAGACCATCAGATGTGATCTCCCATCTGTAACTCTTGCAAACATTCCTTACCAAAATTGTGTTCCTAGCTCAATGGAAACTGTGTCTTGGTCTTTACCAGATCCTGGGTTTTCACAGTTGGCAAGCAGAAATGTGTTTTGCTTTCTGCAAACTAGGCTTCCCTAGTACGGTCCTCTCATGTGGTCATACAGTTGTATCTGTAATGTCAGTAATTCTCAGGACATGAGGCTGACTCCGTAAATACCTCTTAGAGAAAGCCCTATAAATGAGCACAGGCATAACCTTCTGATTTTGTTTGCATTACAGCATCGCTACCACTAGGAACAAGAAAACCAAATGGAGAGACTCCACATCTCCCCCCTCCTCCTCCTCCCTTTTCCCCTACATACTCCATGACTGTTATCATCTCAATCATCTCCAGCTTTGCCCTGGTTGTGTTCCTCAGCATTGTCACCCTGGTTTGCTGCCGTCGGCGAAAGCAGTGGAAAAACAAAAAAAGGTAGAGCTCGGGGCTTAATTCAAGGCAGCAAATGCTGCTTTGAAAAAGGGCTTGCCTGTTTCTAAGAGCACAGTACTGCAAACACCTGGGGGGGGGGGGGGGGGGGGGGAGCAGCCCTCCCTTTGCCTGCGGCAGCCCAGTGCAAGCTCTGGTGAGTTCCTGTGCCAGAGCAGAAGGTGGTCTGGTGACTGTTTTGGGGACATGACATGATGCCTTGCTGCAAGGGTCTTCCGACAGCCCTGCTGCACCTTCCTTTTCCATCGTGAAGAAACCAGCCCCAGAGGAGGTGCACATAGTTCTTTCCTGGTTGAGGGCTGTGTACACACTGACCGAAAACTGCTCTGTCATTGCAGAGAGTCAGAGACACCGACGCTCACCACTCTGCCCTCTGAGCTCCTCCTGGACCGGCTGCACCCCAACCCGATGTACCAGCGGATGCCCCTTCTCCTCAATCCAAAATTGCTCAGCTTGGAGTATCCCAGGAACAATATTGAATACGTGAGAGATATTGGGGAAGGAGCATTTGGGAGAGTCTTCCAAGCAAGGTAAGCGGCCTGTATGTGCGTCCTCTTTATCTGGAGGTGCCTGGGAAAAACTGGCAGTCGGCCAACCGCTTATCTGGGCTCTGGAAATCATTCATTCTTTCACTCAAACCAAGATCAAATGCATGTGCACCAAATGGTACACTCAGGCTTGAAGAACTGTTTCTGCTGTCCACTGCTTTCTGTTGGTATTTGTTAAACTTTTGTCACAGATGACTCTCCTGTTCTTCTCTCTAGTAGATATAATGTCTTACTCACATACCAAAGTCTGGTGTAAAAGCTTAGCTATATTTGTCATTACTGTTTTTGCCAAGAGTATTGCCTGTGACATGTGACCTATTGTGAAATTCTTGCATTTTCCAGTATTTGCGAATTGTCAGTGTGTGGTGTCCTCCATTATAACGCCAACACTGGCCAGTAATTACCACAGAAGGCAATGTGTCATGCTACAGTTAGGTCCTGACCCAGTTTCCATTTGATTCAGTGGCCAAACCAAACCAAAGCAAAAATCCCCTAAAAACCCAACCCACTTAGGCCAATAATTTTTTTTCTCTGTGTGTCCCCTTTAGTTACTCATTTTTTATTCTTGGAATTTGCAGCCATTGTTGCCTGTTTTAAATTTAAGGTATTAGATGAGATCCCATTTCTGTGAAATCTCATGGGAGGTGAGATCATGCACTTCTTCAGATACAAAAAATGTTTCATTGAAAAACCCAGAGATGAACCCAGTCCTGCCTAGACTGAGGTGCATGGAAGGTGTCTTGTTAGCCTTGACAGAGTCCGTAATTTCTGCAGGACAGTCCTTGGCCAGTACTGGTCTCCTCGGAAAATCCCATCCCCAAATTCCTGAAAGAGAGTGTCCAGTTCCATGTTTACTCAGGATGGTTTTCTTTGTCCTTCACAAGTTAACAAGTCTGGGATGTGACTGATTTTGTAGCTGTATTTGGAGAAGTGTATGATGACCTCAAAAAAACCAGGGGAGTATCAGAGTCCCACCACAGGCCAAGGCCTGCCTGGTGGGACTGCTCCCATTGTCTTCGAAGACAAAGGACTCTCCTTGCAAAAAGCAGTCATAATTGCAGATACTTTTAATGTTTATAGTTATGCTGTTGATGTATATGCTAGGAAATGAGTTACACGCAGGTTAAATGCGTTAGAGCAGGCAAACAGTTTCAATAGCTGTGATGGATTTTTTTTCTAATGAGGGGATGCATTTTTTCTAATGGAAGAAATGCAGGCATACTTCTCTTTAATACAGAGAGAGCTAAAAATAACAAAGTTCGAAGGGCGTGCAGTGGGAAAATCACAGATGCTTAGCCTGTGTGATTGATTGTTAGTCTGGATGGCAAAGCCAAACGGATCTGAGCTTGAAATGAGAACAAAGCTGCAGGAGCTGCACCACAGCTGTGCTCGGGGCGCCGCACGCCAGCCAGCGCAGGGGCACAGGGCAGTCCTTATCCCAACCTCAGCACAGTGCTCAGGATGCCCTGCGGAGCATCGCCATCCCGCTTGTGTGGTGGGGGTCTTCACCACGGTGCGGGTGTGCAAGCAGGGCAAGCGGTCTTCCTGCCAAGTGCCGCTTTGGCCCTGCACTGGGAGCTTCAATATAACTGCTGCACAGACCTTTCTGAGCTGGAAATGACTCTCACCCACATCAAGCAGGACCTCTCAAAGGGCATTCAAATGTCACTAACTCACTGGGTTAAGCAAGTGCTAAACTGGTGTAGAGACCTTTTATGTGGATTTCATCCACCCCAGTGCTGCAATTTCTTTTAATAAAATGTTTTTGTTATTGTCAGTGGAAACTGGGAGAAAAAGAGAAGGGGAAGAAAAAAAGCAACACATCTTCATAGCCAGCATTTGCAAAATGGAGAGTACCATACCCTCAGATATGCCTGCTCTCTGTGGCTCAGGGAGGAGCCACAGAAACATTTCTTCTGAGGGGCTTCCTTATTTTTATTAATATCTCTATCAAAAGTCCTTTCAAGGCCTTGTATTTCCAGGGAACATTTAAGCCACTGGCAATTTCTGTGCACCTCTGGCAGATCAGCACAGACTCTGATCCAGTAGTGCCAGCTGTGCATCCCTCCCTGTTACTGAAGCTATCACAACTCAAATTGTTGCCTTCCCATCTCAGATGGATAAAATGTACTTGTCTAAATGTGTTAAATGGACATCTCGAGCTAAGTTTAGTAACCCTCTTACTTCTTCTGGTCTCATATTTCTCCCTCTCCTGTAAACACAACTCTGTGCACGGTGCCAGCGATGCCTTTGCCAGTTGGCTTGCTGTGAGTCCTGATTCAGTGTTTACTCACTCTTGGGTCAAGCAACATGTTAGGACAGGAAGCGTCTGGCTATCGTTTACTAGCTTCTCCTGAAAGGCTGCTGTCTTCACGGGGTGCAGCTTCACACTGGAAAGGATGAGGAAGTAACCACTTACCCTAACAGTTGTCCTTAAAACAAGATTCAGGACCTGGCTCACGTCTGTCCCTACTGTGTTTGATGGCTGACTCAGGGTCCTCTGCCCCTGGGAGGACCACGCTGGCCCCACATGCTACCAGAGCACCAGCCCCATGTGGTTCAATGCAGACCAGTATGCAAGTCTTCTCCCAGAGCTGGAGCTGCATGGTCCAGGCTAAGCCTGAAGCCCAGGATTGCCTAAAAGCCTGGACGTGGGGTCTTTGCTAGCAGTCCAGTAGACCCCCACTGCAAAGGCACAGCTTGTTGTGTCTGCAAGAGACAAGGCTGTCCCTAAGGTCAGAGTTTCTCTGACAGAAGTCTCCTCACATTCTTTGCAAGTGCAAAGGGTGTTTCTTTGACCTGCTGTCTCAAATACAGCTGAAGAACAGTGTGGATGTTCATTAAAAAAAACCCACAACAAAACGAGCCTCTGCCAATTCAGAGCACTCTTCTGCCCAAATACAAATTTCTCTGAAGGGTAGGGTAAAGGTAGGTCTCCACCAGCCTCAGTAGATGTTAATTTCATCATGTAATGATCTAACAGAAGCTACCCAGCTATGATGCTGAGGAAGATGGGAGACAGGACACAATCCCAAATACAGGTTCAAGCTGCTCCTCAGTTTTTTCACAGTTACTGCTCTGGAAAGAACACGTGACTGGAAACTTAAAGTCAGGCACTCTGTAGATAGGTTCAGAGTGAAATCCCTAACTGCACTGCTGGTTAGTTCTTTGAATGACAAGTACTTAAAAGCCAAATGCTGTCAGTGTTGCACAAATCCATTGATGGTGAAGAAGGCGAGGACAGCTGGTGTCCATCCTGTGTGCAAACAGTGGGCATCTCTCCTAAGCATTTAGACAATCACAAGAGAGGAAGCCCAAGGTAATTTCTGTTGATGCTTCCCAGTTCTAGCAGAAATGTACCTATTTTCTAGAAAACATGTCATGTTCTGGCCTGCTGCCTGAATTCTCCTGTTAATTTCAGAAGCAGCAGCTACCCATTGCTCCCCTGCAGATGTGCCCCTATCCCTTTGTGCAAAGACTGTCTTTTGGGCACCAAAGGGGTCAACTTCAACAGCTGTCTGCCAAGACTGCAAACAGAGTCTGTCTCTTGTCTGTCTGTCTTGTCTGTCTGTGATCTTGTCTGTCTCTTGTCTCACATGAGTGTGATTTTCCCAGGTCCGCTAAGAACTGGGCTTAAGTAGCACAAGAGCTACCAAGGGTGAAATTACTTGCTGTTGACTGAAGGCCTGTTAAAAGGCTTTGTGCAGTTTAATCTCACTTAAGTTACATTTAGGTTAGTTTACATTACAGGATTTCAGTGAAGAGTAGATGGATGGGTGTACTTCAGGCGTTAGACTGGGGTGAGTTTCTGTCTCCAAAGCATGCCCCTGCTTTGGCACTGCACTAGGTCTGCACTAGTTCTGCTAGCCAGTGATGAGTGGTAATCTACAATGAGGCTGTTTGGAAGAGATAAAGGCTGTCCTCTTTTTACTTTTAAATGCTCTACTGGTTTCTTCAGGCTGTTGCTGCTGACTTTCTTGAGCGCTGAGATTAGACAGCAGCTAGTAGGTGCTGGTACTTCCCCACTCCTACTAGACTGGAAACTTGCTGCCAGCATGGAAGAAAAAGGAAGGCATTTTGCTGTAATGGAGGCAGTAGCAGACAAGTGTGGAGTCTGCTGTGGCATGCTGGACCTCCTTGCCTGAGCGTCTCAGCTGTGATCTGGCCACCTGTGAGATTCCTTTCTTGATGGGCACCCTGCCATCTTCTGACATTTGACATTTACAGCATCCAAGTGCAACTGTTGCAACTGTCGTATGTCTGGAGTACATGACAAGGAAACTGGAAGTTTGCTTTGGAAATCAGAACCTCCTCTTGGGGCTACTGAAGCAGTAAAATAACCTGGCATTTGAGCAATGGGAGGGGAGTTGGACTGGCATAGTAGCACGACACGTAAATGGGCACCGCTTTCCATGGCCTCTGGCTGGCTACCTGTAAGGAGTGTGTTTTAACTGCAGGACCAATGGGAAGAATTCATGTGGTCAACAAAATGCACGTCTGAGGTTTGATGCATGTTTGAAGAGCGGAAAGTTACTCTTCTTTGGCAACAGCTGCCCCTAAATCTTTGGCAAGTCCATCTAATTAAACTTGTTGAGGGCGCAGTGACCTGTGGATAAGAAAACAAAATGAATCTGTGATTGCTCTAAGTCAGGATGCTCTGTTTCCTATATATTTGTGTCTCTAAGCTCTAGCTGAAGATTCACCAGTGTCTTAACGTGGGTGTATTCACGCATTACGTTGTTCTTCAGACAGGGCACCTGTATGCTTTGTCCCTTGTGTCCTGTCACCTATTTCCCCAAAACCTGCATGAGCTTTACTGTTTCCTAGACCTCAGCTCCACCACGTTAAATTCAGCTGAAATTAGCTAATGCGTTTATAACTTGTTGAATTACAGGCACACACACATGCCACACACACACGCACAGAGAACAGTGGCACACACAGAACAGTGGCAAAAGGCTATTTTCCTTACGAAACCAGGGGAACATACTTACTGTAATTGTTACTTTCACAGTAATAGTAGCCAGATGTACCAGTGCCACCATTATGCCAGGTATGGGACAAGATTCAGTGAAAAGAGGCTCTTTCAGCATTTTCATATAAAATTGGTTTATTTTTAACTCTGGTAAGCTCAATTATTATACCCCAAAAGCAAATTGCTTGGACTGAAGAGTCCATCCTGCCCTCCATGAAGTTTCTGATGTGACCTTCAATCCAGGGAGGCTTACCAGCCTGTTATTTATTTATCTCTTTACCAGTCATAGTAAAGAGTCTGTAAGCAGAAAGAGCAGTGATCAAAAAAAGCTATACTGGATTTAGTCCCCTCTGAACTAAATTAAATGTCTCTGTACTATGCAATGCAGATATGCTTGAGGTGAAGATGGTCTTTCATGTTCCTTCAGTCGGTGCTGGGGCCTTCCACCTTTTTTTTTTCCTTTTCTTTTTTTCTATCAGCCTATCCTTTTGCACCAGAAACAGACCCTACATTTGGTGTGCATGCATCCATCACTGATGTTTTCCTTTCTCCCCTCCCTGCAGGGCCCCAGGGCTGCTGCCATATGAGCCTTTCACAATGGTGGCAGTGAAAATGCTGAAGGAGGAAGCGTCCGCAGACATGCAGGCTGACTTTCAGAGGGAGGCAGCCCTCATGGCAGAGTTTGACAACCCGAATATTGTCAAGCTTTTAGGTATCTGAATGAGGTGCCCGTGTCCAGGGTACCACCTACTGCAAATCTGCTGGGGGGTTGTTGGGCATGCAGGGGTAAACACACATGCGTGACTGGTGCTTAATGCAAATGGCAATATTGGTCTCTTTTGCAAAAGAAAATGCCTCTTGCAAAAGAGGTGAGCTTTTCTATGTGCCACTGCATGCTCTGCTAAATTGTCCACCAGAACAAGTCTCCAAACGTAGGTCTGATGCTGTTAACTTAACAGGATGGTGCATCGTAATAAACCCTCCTTGTCCTGCATTGAGTATACTGTTGACCATCTTGCTGCCTAGCTCTGCTTCCAGTTTAATAACATTGGCACAGACGTCACACAGGGAAAGCACAAGCTTCCTTGAGCTGCGATATATTTTGCTGGTACTTAAAAAAAACTAGGCACAAGTCTTGTTAGTTTTATGGTCCCACTTACTATTGTGATGTCTGAACAGTCACCAGCATTAAAAAACCAAAATGAAACGAATAAACAAAAAATGCCAACTGCAAAAATGGTCTCCCCCTTCCCTTTTACCTTCCCCTTCCCTTCCCCCCCTTCATTTGTTTAGAAATTCTCAATGCTGCAGCTTGGCTAATAGGACATTATTCTGAGAAGAAAGCTGCCGACCAAATTTTATTTCAGTAAATTTTCAGTTTTTGACTGAACTAGATGTTGCTAGCCACCTTCACCTGGCAATCCTGCTCTAAGTTGTTGTACACAGATCTGATCCCTGTGAACAGGCAGCTGAGAACTTCATTTATTTCAATAGGATGCTCCACAAAATTTGGAAATAGATAAACCGCAGTTTTGGGAAAGCTGAGTTGATGCAAGTAATTTGTCTAAAGAAAAGAAAAGCAGGAAATGGCCCAAACTCAAATAAACATTGTGTTTATTGTCAACACATTTTAGGTCAGGAAAGGGCAAAGGTACAGGAACAAACTAGTTTGACATTGTGGGGGCGTGGAGAAAACAGCCATGTTGTTAAGGCAGCTTAGACGATAAAGCTCTCACATACATTCCTCATGCTTGTCAGATCCTGATTTTATCACACTGGGAACAGCTATCTGCTTTTCCTCAAATATTCAAGTGTTAGGTCATCAACAAGAACTTCAGATTTCACAATAAATTGGATCACCAATTGCTAAATGATGGCCCTAAGAAAGCAAAACACATACATTTTAAAGGCTGGCTTTTGCCGGTTGGCAATTTAGTAATAGGCACACAAATATTTTTGCCAGATCACTGTATGCTCAGTAATGTGGGATTGGGGTCCTGTACTAATGCTGGCCCCAAGTAAAGGTTGTGTAGGTCTAAGCATGTGCCCTTCAGTGGGACTGGGTTCTGCATCTATCAGATGTGGCAACTCTCTCCTTTCTGATGTCTGTTTTTTCTTTGTCTTATTCTCTCATTTTTGAGCATCTGTGATGATAAAAGTAATTTCTGCAACCAACATTTTCTGCATGAGCTGTTAAAAAAAAAAAGAAGAATCCAGAAGTTGTAATGGGAGTGTCTTTGCATCTCCAGGATTCCACTGAACCCTTGAACAAGCCCTTTGTGATTACTCCTGAAGTCTTCCGGCATATGTGTAGCCCCTACACCCATATCAGTATAAGTACAATAATTACAACAAGCAAAAGAATTAAAAAATACCATGATCAAAACTATAAAGGTTACTTCCTGAAAGTATGTCCTTCCAGTTGCAGCTGGGAAGAGGCAATACTTCTGTTAATGCCAACTTAAGCAGGATTGGGCTCTTAATTAAACGTAGCTCCAAAAGTGTGTCTTTTTCCTGGGATGTCCAGAGAAATCAGGCAACTACATGACTTGTTAACATCTCCCACAGAGTTCAGCAATAGATCCCTGGTGAAGGAGCTTCAAAGACACAAAGGGATGCTTGAAAACTTGATGGTATTTGCATGCTTCATGTTTCTCTCTGTCCCTTCATGCATTGTTGAAAGTTTCCCCTTTGTGTAAGTATTTTCTGAGACTTTTGGTTTTGCACAACAGAACCCTCTGTGCTACCCAAATGACTTGCATGGTCATTTCTTGCATCACCTATCTTCTTCAGGTGTGTGTGCTGTTGGGAAACCGATGTGCCTGCTGTTCGAGTACATGGCCTACGGGGATCTCAACGAGTACCTGCGTGACCGCTCGCCCCGCAACCTCTGCAGCCTGGTGCACAGTAGCCTGGACACACGGATCCGCCTCCCCAACCCCATGGCGCTGAGCTGCACCAGCCAGCTCTACATTGCCAAGCAGGTGGCTGCCGGCATGGCGTACCTCTCCGAGCGCAAGTTTGTCCACCGGGATTTGGCTACCAGGAACTGCCTGGTGGGGGAGAACATGGTGGTCAAAATTGCCGATTTTGGTCTCTCGCGGAACATGTATTCAGCTGACTATTACAAAGCGAATGAGAACGACGCCATCCCCATCCGCTGGATGCCCCCTGAGTCCATTTTCTACAACCGCTACACCACAGAGTCTGACGTGTGGGCCTATGGCGTGGTGCTGTGGGAGATCTTCTCCTACGGCATGCAGCCCTACTACGGGATGGCTCACGAAGAGGTCATCTACTATGTGAGGGATGGGAACGTCCTCTCCTGCCCGGACAATTGTCCCCTGGAGCTCTACAACCTGATGCGCCTGTGCTGGAGCAAGCTGCCTGCTGACCGGCCAGGCTTCGCCAGCATCCACCGCATCTTGGAACGCATGTACGAGAGGGCTGTGGCCACCCCGTCGGTCTGAGGGATGGGCCCGGTGGTCCCCGGCGTCCACCTGTCCAGACTGACTCGGACAGGCCCATGGGCTCCTGAACGGCAGCTCCATGAGAAGCCCCGCTTTAGGGGGAGGAGAAACAGCTTGTTCCTCTGCCAGGTGAGAAGTGTGGGCTGCACCCCCCTACCGTGGGCTCTACCTCCCTGAGTGGGACTATACCTCCCAAACGACAGGGCTGACCCCTGGCCACCAAGCCTGGACTCCTCGGGTTGGCGAGGGTGCTGGCTGTGCTAACTCAGTACCTATATTAGGCATTTCCAGGAGCACAGAGTTCCCCAGGGAAAGCAAACCAACGTTTTGCTGGCAGCACTTCCCTTCCTAACAGGTCCCTCCATGTCCTTCTGCATTTACGCTCCTGGCTTTTACCTTTTTCTTCCCTTCCTCATATGTTTTCAAGTATTATTTAAAAAAAAAAAAAGATTGCAGAATTTAATCTTTTGGGGGATACTCTTTACTATTTTCTTTTCACATACTCACTTCCTTTTGTAGAAAAAGGATGTTTCTGAAGCCATAGGCCACTTTCTTTTTCCTTTTAACTTCTACACTCTCTTTGACGCTCATGAACATAAGATTGACAGAGCCAAAACAGGAGCCCGCAGGACCACTGGCAGCCGCCTGCATCTCACGTTACAGGGACGGGCAAACTCCTGTCAAGCATGGAGCCTTACATTTTCAAAAGTGGGAAATCTACAGTGAGGTTCATTTGATGTCTGTTAAGATCTCACCCAAAAGCTTGCCTCAAGCATTGCAGCCCATCTTTCCTGCCTTTTCCTGCAACAAAACTGTTTGGTGCTAAGGGAGAAATTCAGTCCAAAGGCCTTGTCCTGCACCTGGTAGGTCTCCAAGGTGTGTTTAATTGCCTCTGCCTGCGGTATGGTCCTCCCTGCACCACAAGCAGGGAGAAATGCAGCCCCTCCTTGCAGAAATGTGGCAGGTTGTGTCACTTATTTATCTCCTTTTCCCTTCCAATCTTTGCCTTCTGTTTCTGGTTTTCCCTTCCTGACAGCAGCTCCTAACTGCTGTAAGCCCCACTGCAACGTTTGCTAGCCGCCTTTCCTTGTGCTGCAGTTTACAGGCACAGAAGGAAAGTGGATGCCTGCCGTGAGTGGCCTTCAGAGACAACCTACCAGTTAGGAGAAGTTGGAAAAAGGGGGAGTTCACACTCTGCACAAGACATGTTGCAGACTGTCCATCTGCAGAGCAAAGATAAGACTGCCTTGGTTACACATGGTCCACAGTCCACCTCCAAACACCCAATGTTGATTCCCTGCTAAAAGTTCTCCAAATTGTAATGGAAACTTCAGTGCCAGAGAAATTTTGTTCCTCTGAGGACAGGTTTAACCTTCTATTTCTTTGGGCAATGAGAAACAATTGTCCCAGAGCCTCACTGCTGATATGAAATATAGCCAGAGGCAGGGATGTCCATTATCCCTGCAAAGCAGGAGTGCCAGTGAGTGAGCGGTTGGTGTGGCTTCCATAACTGGGACATACTGGTTAAGTCATCCAAGAAACAGCAGTGGAGAGCAGCCATCTGTGGGGCTACCAGGAGTAGCCTTGGTTTCTGAAAGGCAAGCTTGAAAAGCCCTGCCAACCATTACGAAGAACAAAACTGGAAAGTACGTAACTTCCTCTGCTGTTTTCCTGTAATGTGAGCTAATCTTTGCTACATCAGAACCTTATTTTTTTTTTAAATAACCATAGTTCATTCTGGTTCTGGCCACAAGAGCATAGTTTAGTGTTTTCAGACCACTGGTGTCAACTTCGCTTGAAGGAAAGCACTTGCAACTGCCCAAGACAGTGGGAAGAAAGAGGAAGCTCTGCTTGGGCTGCAAAACTTTAAAATGCTTGGATATCTGCACAGTGAGCACAAAATGACCAGTGCTGTCTTACTCATTTAGCAGTCCTGCCATCATGCTACTATGATGCAACAGTTTACTGAGGTTTGGATTCTAAAAAAAACCCTCGAGAACCCCAAAGCCCTCAATTTAAATAAAATAATTACTGGAGATCCTTACATAGCTCCTGTTACCACATTATGACCACCTCACAGTCCTCAGCATTAATTTCTGTTAGGTTTTGTCAGCTACCTGGCTGTCGTCCCTTCTCTGCAGTGGAAGGGGTGAGGAGGCAAGTCTGGAGGGATGGGAGGTGAGCTGCATCCCCAGCTGAGCAGAGGTGCCTGCAGCCTCTGCTGAGCTGAGCCCCAGTGCACAGCCCAGCAGCTGCTCCATCTCTGTAATGGAGGGTGCAAACTGAAGAACCTTGCAGTGCTTGCAGCAGCAGGGGTTTTGTCACTCCCTCTGAAGAGGGCAGGGTCAGACCTTGTATGTGGGTAGCGGTGTGGGTCCAGGCACCCAGCACCTCCTCCTAATCTGGGAAGTGTCTTACACCAAGCAGAGGGTGCAAGAGCAGGTTGTAAAACCTGCACCATATGCTAACGTGAACAAACACCCATTTACAGTCCAAAGGACAGTCTGCCTTTCTGCCTTCCAGGATCCCAGAGCTGGCTTCAGTCACTCACTCTCCATTTCCACCAGCTAGATTGCTTTGAAACTGTGATCATGGTTTTCTTCTTGTTTTCATGTAGGTGAAGTTAGATGCCTGTAATGTCATGTGCTATGAAGTTTCCCTCACTTTCTTTATGAAAGAAGGACTCCCACAAACTCAGAAGAGTAGCCCTTTTCATTGCACTTTCCTAGCCCAATTCCTTCTCTCAGTGACCGCCATGTTCAGGTCAACATGGGTCTGCAGTTATAAAACAGTGGAAAATTTGGTTTTCCTTGTCCAGCATTCCAGCCCTTGCTCTATAAGCATACACTGAAATGTGCAGGTGGGGATGGAAAATGCTTCCTGCATTGTAAGAGGAAAGAGATCATTTCAAGAGTGACTCACAGGGAAGCTCTCTGCAGCATGCTCACCAAGGATGATAATCACTTCTGCATCGCCATCCAGCAGGAGAGCTTAGCACCTAAATGGTGATGTCCTTTGAGGATTAAAAGGCAGACAGACCTTCTGCTGCCTTGGTGTGTAGATGGATTTTACCCTGAGAGTTTCCTCCTGTTGTACACTTTTAAGCTTGCTAAAAGCTGGAAGTTGAATTGCTTTCACAATTTACCTTCTTTCACAGCTTTCCTTTCTCCTCCTTTTGTTTGAGACTTCTGCTTTCTTCAATGTATGTTATACAGTGTGCTACTCCAGAGACTTCTAAACTTTCTGTATAACTATCACGTAACTCAAATTATTTTGAATGGGAGTAAACAAAGGGATTGTGAGAGAGTAGAAGAGAAAGAAAAATTTGTTACTCAAAAAATTGTTTGCAAACAAAAATATTTTTCAGTCTCTAGTTTGGATTTGGTTCCCATTGCCACTGATGGCAGAGGGAGCCTTGCAGTCAGTGGCACAGGATGAGAATCCTAAGAGGATTTGCAGCACATTTGATGTACCCATTCCCTCTGCAAGTGCCCTGCCTAGACCATTTGCAGCATGTATACAGCTTTATCCCGGATGACACATTGTGAAATCTGATCAACGAAACAGCACAGAAATCCTCTCATGTTCCTGTGACTCTATTTAACAGTTGTATTTAAATTATTAAAATGCATGTTAAAAGCATAAATTCTGTAATTGATTGGACACAGCCTGCAACATGATGAAATTTGGTTCAGAGGAATTGCCTCTCAAACACACTGTGGACTAAATTTAACTGTCTGGTCTCATTTCTCCAAGGGTATATAGTAATTATTAACCTGTGATTGTTTGTTATACATTTCATGAATGATGGCTTTGAAAGACATCCCAAGCAGAGATGTTCATTTCTCATTATCCCAACCCGTGTAACTCATGTGTGCAATATTTTATAAAATAAAGAGATATCAGAAAAGGATAATACTAATTCTGATCTCTCTGTTCTTTTCCTCCTCCAGCACTGGATTTGTTTCTGAAAATGGATGCATTTCATTTTATTCAAGCAGCTTTATTACAGTTTTAATATCACAGTGGTTATACTGTAGGCAATTGCAGTTATAAGCCTATAATGTGTGCTCAAAGGCATGTTGTTTTGATGGGTTAAATTGGGTGCTATAGGAACACATTAAGACACTATAGACTGAATAAGACTTCAGATGAAGAAGCTGGTCAGGTTGCTCTGGCGTCCAGGTCAGAATGGGAGAGCGGTGGGGACTCAGCATGACAGGTCCATGTCCTGACACTAAAGATATAAGGAGGAGACAAAGGAGGATGTTTTTTACAGCAGCATGGGTTGGAGTCCCTTGACCACTTTCCCAAGGTGAAAGACGTCTCATGTAGATGGGAATGACATCTGCTTTCCTCTCAATTTCTGCAGGCATTTGTGCCTGGATTCTGATCTCACACCTAGACATGCTGGGAATAAAATCAAAAGGGAATTGAGTTCGCTGTCTGTAGAACACAGCTGAGAAAAGTTTGTTACTGATATGGTTTTTCTAAAGAGTCATAACTCCTTTTTCTGCACATGATTCTTGAACATGAACTCATTCAGTAAGAGAATTTTAACTATTTTAAAATTAATTGCAAATATTTGACAATCAGAACTGGGGAGTAAACCCAAACTTCCTGACTACAATTAGCCAGGCAAACCATGAAGTACATTCTTCCTTTTTTTTTTTCTCTTTTTTTTTTCATTTGTCCAAATACAATGTAAATGTTTTCTGCAAATAATCTTCCTTGAAATCTTAGAAAAAAATGTTTTGTAAATATTACCCTCACTGAGAAAGTCAATAATGAAGTAGGGAATGAGTTACTTTTTTTTGTCCTTTCAGTTGGGGCTGGCTCTTATATGCCAAGTTTTTTCAAGGCGCAAGGAGAAGTGAGACCCTTCTTTCCCATCACAAAACCAAATGGTTTTGGAGTCTTTAGAGACACATTATTTTAGCCTGGGTTAAAAGGCTGACCCTGTGACAGAATCTGTCACCTTCAGCAGCGCGATCAGTGCC